ATATATATACCCCATCTTCTTTATCCATTCATCTGTTGATGGACACTTAGGTTGTTTCCGTGTCTTGGCTATTGTAAACAATGCTGCTGTGGACACTGGGGGTGCATGTATCTTTTCAAATTAGAGTATTTATCTTTTCTGGATATATGCCCAGGAGTGAAATTGCTAAATCATATGGTAGCTCTATTTTTAGTTTCTTAAAGAACCTCCATACTGTTTTCCACAGTGGCTGCACCAACTTACATTCCCACAAACAGTGTGGGAGGGTAACTGTATCTCCACACCCTCTCCAGCATACTTATTATTTGTAGACTTTTTGATGATGGCCAATCTGGCCAGTGTGAGGGGATACCTCACTGTGGGTTTGATTTGCATTTCTCTAATAATTAGCAATGTTGAGCATCTTTTCATGTGCTTTTTGGCCATCCGTATATCTTCTTTAGAGAAGTGTCTATTTAGGTCTTCTGCCCATTTTCTGACTGGGTTGTTTGTTTTCTTGATACTGAGTTGTATGAGCCATTTGTGTATTTTGGAAATTAACCCCTTGTTGGTCAGGTCGTTTGCAAATGTTTTTTTTTCCATTCCTTAGGTTGTCTTTTCGTTTTGTTGGTGGTTTCCTTTGCTGTGCAAAAGCTTTTAAGTTTGATTAGGTCCGACTTGTTTATTTTTGCTTTTATTCCTTTTGCGTTGAGAGATTGGTCTGAGAATATACTGCTATGGTTTATATCCAAAAATGTTTGGCTGTGTTCTCTTCTAGGAGTTGTTTGGTGCCATGTCTTATATTTAGGTCTTTAAACCATTTTGAGTATATTTTTGTATGTGATGGGATGAGGGAGTGTTCTAATTTCATTGATTTACCTGAGGCTGTTCTTGGAACTTATTTTAATTTTCCCCTTTTTATTATGCTACTTCAGGCTTTGTAGAATGGTCATTGTTACAACATGAAGCCTTTTATTGCTGTTTTAGAACACTTAACATCTGACTGACTTGAGGAGGCTATTCGTTCAAGAAGCTTCGTCCTGTCTGATCTGGGGAAATGGTTTTTAGTGGCTCATCTTTTTACTTCCATTAAATTTGTTAATTACAAATTTGTTCATTCAGGTTTTCCATAGATGTTGGTTTTCTCAGCCAGTGGTCAGTTGCAAGGGCTGTGCTCTTTCTCCTGTCGTTCATCCTGGTGCTTTCTTAGACTGGGGCAGTTAATACACAGTGACACTGATTCCCAAATATCAGAATCTGCGGTCTTCAACGTAGAATTGACTCTGCTAAACTAAGCGGTTTAGGGTAAACTGAATTATACTTTGGTATTGCCAAAGAGCATCTTTATGGACCTTCACTGATATAAAAATCTTAGTAATTCTAGGTTATAAAATTTCAAAAACGGTACATTCGGTGTGGACTATAAAAATGTTGTCTAGCTGTTCCTGTTAAGCTTACGGTGATTAAAAGTAAGAATGTGTAAAGCTCGTGTGGTCATTATCAATCACAGATGTCTTCTTAAAGCAGGGTAAACATTTTGAATTTTGAGATATGAAAAATATTTTTTTGACATTAGCTTCATTTTGGCTGTTCCTTAATGATTTCTAAAGGCTTTAGAAATAATTTATTCATGTTTTGCAAATTTTCTGCTACAGATGCTGATTAAAAAGTCAAGTTTCATAGGGAAGCCTCTATACCTTATTTGGAGGTAATTTGTTCAAATTGTTCCAGTATTCATTGATTGGCTCATCATTGATTGGCTCATTCTTATCACATATAATTTGCAATATTTTCTCTCATTTTGTGGACTGTCTTATCCCCCTCTTGAGAGTATCCTTTGATGCACAAAAGTTTTTAATTTAGATAAGGTCCAATTTATCTGTTTTCTCTTTGGTCATTCTGCTTCTGGTGCCATGTCTAAGAAACTGTTGTCTAATCCAAGATCACAAAGATTTGCATCTACCTTTCCTAGTTTTAGTTCTTATATTTAATTCTTTGATCCATTTTGAGTTAACTTTTGTACATTTTATGAGGTATGTGTCTAATTCATTATTTTGCATGTGGTTGTTCAGTTTTCTTTGCACTGTTTATTGAAAAGACCATTCTTTCTCCATTTTATGGTCTTGGCAACCTTGTCAAAAATCAACTGACCACAGACCTATGGGTTTATTTCTGGACTCTAAATTCTCTTCATTGATCTATATATGTCCTTATGCAATACCACGCTGGCTTGTATACTGTAGCTTTGTAGTGAGTTCTGTATTTGGAGGTATGAGTCTTTGGTACTTTTGGTACTTTTTCTGTTTCAAGATTGTTTTGGCTATTCGGGGTCCCTTGAATTACCATATGGAATTTAGGGTTAGTTTGTCGGTTTCTGCAAAAACAAAGCTAGCTGGGATTTTAAAAGGGATTGCATTAAATTTGTAGATTAACTTGGGAAGTATTGCCATCTTAACAATGTAAAGTCTTCTGGTACCTGAACATGGTACCTTTCCATTTATTTAGGTCTTTTAAAATTTCTTTCAACAGTATTTTGTAGTTTTCCAATTATAAGTCTTACACTTCTTTTGTTAAATTTATTCCAAAGTATCGTGTTATTTTTTGTGCTATTGTACATGGAATTGTTTTCTTAGTTTCATTTTTTGGATTGTTCACTGCTAGTGTTTAGAAGTGCAATTGACTGTATATTTGCAAACTTGCAGAACTCTTTATTAGCTCTAGTAGATTTGTGTGTGAATTATACCTTAGGATGTTTTATGTAGAAGACAGTGTCATCTGCAAGTATCGTCTTGTTCTCTCCTTCCAATCTAGGTGTCTTTTATTTCTTTTTCTTGCCTAATTGCCCGGCCAGAACTGCTAGTATAATGTTTAGGGTACATTTTTGGCAAAATTAGAGGAAGACAAGCGTTTCCGGCGTGACTTTTCCAAATTTCCTTCTGTGATTTCTCATTTCACTCCATGTGGTTGGAGAACTTACTTCGTATAATTCTAACCTTTTAAAATGTATTGAGACCTGTTGTATGGCCTATCCTGGAGGATGTTTCAGGTACACTGGGGAAGAATGTATATCTTGCTCTCGTTGGGTGGCATGTTCTATAGATATGTTAGGTCTATTTGGTTTATATTGTTCAAATTTTCTCTTTCCTTTGGGTCTGCTGTCTAGGTTTTATATCCATTATCAAAAGTAGGATGTTGAAGTCTCCAAATATTATTGTTGAATTGTGTAAGTTCTCCTTTTAATTCTGTCAGTTTATGCTTCGTGTATTTTGGGGTTCTGTCCTTAGGTTTACATATGTTTATAATTGTTACGTCTCCTTGTCTACCTTTTATCGTTATATGATATCCTTTCTCTCTCATAATAATTTTTGTCTTCAAGTATGTTTTTTTCTGATATTTGTATAGCCACCCCAGCTCTCTTTTGGTTACCGTTTGCATGGAATGTCTTGTCGCATCCTTTTGCCTTTTGATTTTGTTGTCATTTGTTTGTTTAGTGATTTTTCTGAAATAATTTTTCAAATTTTTAAGTTAATTTTTCAATTTTGAACTAATTTTTTAAAGTCATTATTTGTTGTGTGTGGCCTCTGAAGTTTTTCTTCCATGGGTTTAATGATCAACTAGTCATTGCCCAGAGATTTCCTTAACCACCCCATTCCAAAAACATTGCCCAGTTTTTGCAGAGGCATCTGTGTGTATGTGTGTTTGCGCACACCTTCCATACTCAGCCAGGCAGTTTACACCTCTGCTTTAGCTTTAACTTCCTGCTTCTCCAGCCTCCAGATCAGCGAGAGGTGAGAACTTTTCCGGCCTTTCCTGAGCACGTGCACAGCATGTGTGTGGTCTTCTAGATTCCCAGGGAGGAACAGGTCGGAGCTATTCAAAGTCTTTATTCCCTAAAGTATCTTATAACCCAGGCTTTCCTCCAAAGCTTTTTGTTAGTCCGTTGTTTGGTCCAACTGCTATCCATTGCTTCAGGCAGCAGCAACTAAAACATCGGCCTTGTAGATATTTTCAGTGTGGCCCCTTCAGCGCTGGTTGAGTTCTGAGTTAGATAAGAGTCAAGTGTTGTTTTGTACCAGACAGGTGAAAACAAATAATTACAGCTCTTTGACAGCGAGGCCCCTCCTGCTCTGATAGTAGTGCTGGAAACGCAGGGTCTTATTTTCAAGGCTACCACTCAGCTGGAGAAGCAGGGGCATGGGCCTGTGGTAAATGAAAATACTGCAAATCTTGCTCTTCTTACTGAAATTTTCTGGTT